CTTCTCTTGATTGTAGACTTTGACAGTGACACGCCTACACACACCTACTCACTACTCCTGGAGAGCGTTCTTCCTCTTGGCTGATGTTGTGAAAGGGTTTTTCTTTACCATGGAGAGGATCCTCCGATCATCAGCACTGTTGTCTTCCGTGGACGTCCAGGTCTTTTAATGTTTCTGAGCTCACCAGTGCGGTCTCTTTTTCTCAGAATGAACTAAACTATTGATTTGGCCGCTCCTGATGTTCCTGCTATCTCTCGGATGGATTTGATTTGTTTTTGAAGCCTAACAATCGTCTGTTTCACTTGTATGGAGAGCTTCTTTGACCGCATGATGTGGGTTCAGAGTAACAGCTTCCAAATGCAAATGGCACACTTAGAATCAACTCCAGACCTTTTACCTGCTTAACTGATGTAGAAATAATGAAGGAATTAGCCCACATCTGTCCATGAAACAGCTTTTGAGTCAACTGTCCAAATACTTATGGTCCCTTGAAAAAGGGGGGAGGTACATATTAAAGAGCTGTAATTCCTTAACTTTTCCTTCAATTTTGATTAGAGTACCCTCAAATTAAAGCTCAGAGTGTGCACTTTAAGCCCATATTCATTATATAACTGTAACTTGAAAATGTTTTGGTCAGCAGCTAAAATAATAAAAAATTGTACCTGTGTCCAAATATATATGGACCTGACTGTACACTTTCACATTTTTTTTTTTTTTGCACTTTGTATTAATGTCAAACTAAAAATTTTACTAGTACATTTCAAATTATTGTGTGTGTTTTTTTTTTGCTTAAATAATCGTATGTTATTTCTTAAAGAAGTACACATATTTTGATACGTTGACTAACATACTAAAGCACATGTAAAGTACTTGATGATATTTGATTGTAACTGCAGTGTGTTTATCAGTATTATTTTTAGGGTTAATATATTTTAAATGCACTAAATTGCAACTTTGTCCTTATAAATGTGTAATTACAAATACATGTAAATACATGATAGAGATGTTTTAATGCATCCTAGCATCCTAGTTCCACCACTGCTCTCCACCTCCAAATTCAAGTATGCTGGTTCTGCCACCGCTTGTTCCATTTTATCTATATCCACTGGGATTCATTCATTCATGCATTTATTCATTATTTGTTTATTTATAAAGCACATTTTAAATCAACCCAAGGTTGACCAAAGTGCTGTATAGAGCAGTATGATCAATACATAAATTCAAACAAATTACAATCAATAAAATAAAGTGCACAAAAATAAATAATTCATTAATTCTGAAAAGCCACAGTAAATAAGTTATTTTTAAGCTTTAATTTGAAAATAGAGATAGATGCCATAGTTTGGATTGATACTGGTAGGCTATTCCATAGTTTAGGGCCTGCTATCGCAACAGCTTGGTCCCCCGTTTTAGCTTAGACCTGCGGACAGAAAGTAATCCAAGATCCCCAGACCTAAGTGACCAATATGGATTTTGAGAATGTAGCATGACAGAAAGATAACCTGGTGCTAGGCCATTTAATGATTTAAAAACTAAAATTTTTAATTCAGTTCTCACTTTAACTGGTAGCCAGTTAAAATTTGAGTAATGTGATACATTTTTTGATTACCGGTCAACAGACTAGCTGCAACATTCTGATCCATTGCTAGATCTGTCTGTTCAGGGATGTTTACTACCAGCTGCTTCCTAGCCTGGCCATCAATCCCAAGAAGTCCAAGGGTCCTCCAAAGCAACTGCCCTGCGAAGCCCCTGCAGCCAACCTACACCAGCAGATTCCAAGCCTTCCATCCTTCCTGTAGGCACTCAAGAATCAACTCCTAATATTTCTTAAGCTTACACTCATGTGCTTCTTTTGTCCTCTCTTCCCAGGGTACTGTAAACTCTATAAGTACCACCTGCATGGTAACCTTCAACCAGGGCACAATATCAAGTCTGAGACTCGTATGGGTTATTTCCTCTGGGAATCTGAGCTGCTTCCTAAGGTCTGCCCGCATCTCCCAGTCGTTTTCCTATATTGTACTCCTTTACTCTTTATTTATGTTTCTGTGCTTTCCCCAGACCCAAGGAACTGAATGAAACAAGGCCCCTTACAAAGTTGTCTTGGCTTCTTTCATGCCTGCTTCACCCCGACAACCAGCTGATTTAAACTTTGATCATGTCACCACCAAAACTTCCCATCCACCAAACTTGACCTGCATGAGGAGAGGACACACTGAAGGTAAGCTGGCTTTCCACAGAGTGCACAACTGGTGCTCTCTA